ACTGATGGCTGGGTGAGTTTGGGGAGGCTTCCATATTTGCAAAGAATCAATCTCCAAGTTTCCATTTGACCCACCAAGAAATTGGGCAATCACCAGGAAGGGGGTGGAATCAGCTAGAATAAGTGCTGCCAAATTAGCCCTTGCTCATTTGTGGTCGAAGCACAGGCCAGTCGGAGAGCTGTTAGAAAGACCACGTGACCAGGACTTTTCTGGAATTCATCCCGTCCCTGTGACAACCTTGTAACTATGTAAAGAAGAGGAGGCTGCAGAGGTGACATCAGGAGCTTCCATAATTGCATCCCTAATGAAACTGATTGAAAGGAGATTGATGAGCAGATTGAAAGGACAGGGTTTTACCCTGAGCTAATTGCTGTTTGTTAGCATCTTGGAGTAAACACGGGTAGCTGCGCTGAGTTCACCCATGTGGTTGTAGGGACTGGCACTGTTGATCCTTCAAAGTGGCCCCTTTGACAAATTTCCCTGTTTTTCTGGTGGCTGGTCTCTCTCGGTTTCCCTCCTGGATTCTCACTCGCCTGTTCCTTTCAGGTAGCCTGTTCCTCAAGTTCCCCTTGAGGTTATCCTCAGAGCTCACTCCTTGGATGATGTTCGCTTGCTTCTATAACTTCAATTTGTCATCTTTTTTTTTTTAAATTTTGAGAAAGGGTTTCTCTAAGTTGCTTTGGGCCTTGTGAAGTTGATAAGGCTGGCCTTGAACCCTTGATCCTCCTGCCTCAGCCTCCTGAGCCCCACCATGCCCAGATTCAGCCTGCCGTCTTTAAGGGTGACAACTCAGACCTGTGTGACTGCTGGTACCTCTGCTTTCCTGTCCTGTGCTCCCTTCATACTCAAGCCAACCCAACTCAGCTCTTTCTCTCACTGTACAAACCTGGTCCTCCTCCTGTGCTCAGGGAATGTACCTTCTTTTTGGCCACTTGTCCTGGCCACGACTCTGATTTCACTCTCTTTCCAGCCCTCCATGTCAAGTCTGTTGTCCTAGCCCCTAAGCACTTTCCCCTACACCTCCTTCCCGTCTCCACTGCTTCCCTCCATTCTTGCCGTTGTTCTGCTCTGTCCAGGTGGCGGGAGTTTGCCATCCCTGGGCCCGACATCACCCGCTTTGTGCCACACTCCATGGCGCAGCCAGGATGCTCTGTTGAAAATACGAATCTTGCCATGCACTGCTCTGATGGAGGCAATCCGGTGCTTCTGTACCTCTTAACAGCGATTTTGTGACAGAGTCTCCTCTGCCATGCCTGTTCTGTGCACCTGCCCTCCACAGCTCCCCACAGAGCCCAGCCTCCTCCACCACAACCCGCCAGATGACTGCGTGCCTTCCGGAGCCGGCCCTGATGTCCCCTCCCTGGGTGGCTGACTCCTGCTCACCTTCTCTCCTCATCTTAGAGTTCCTTTCCTTCAGAGCCTCTGTTCCCCACCCCCTAGCCGCTGTCCTCTTAAGTGCTCAGCCAGCGGTCACTTCTGAGCGGTACAGGGGCTTGAAGGTGGGCATGTAAAGGTGGGAGGGGGCGTGTTTGGACTCGGATGCTCAAGGGGTGTGCTGTGGTTTGGTGAGTTTGATGTCTCTCCCTAACAAACAAGACAGGCCACTTTGTCCCATGGAGAGTCCCCAGCGGGAAGGTAGGGAAGGTGATATACCCCAGACACTTTCAGAAGGTTCCCTGGCAGCCTTCATGGGACTTTTTGGCACATTACACAACTTTTACTCTCTTCAAAGTTTTGCTTGCTTAATTGAACAGATTTCCATTAAAGCAAGCTAGAATTTACCCTCAGAGTTGAACTTTCCTGTCTGATTTATTCCTTTGTAACATGCTTACAATGTTGATTCATCTTTTTCTTAAGAATTTTCATTTGTTTACATGGATCACACGGGTTATGACCTTGAAATTTGAGAAGAAAAAAAAATTAATTAAAAATAAAAACAGGGAAAATTAAGCTGATGGTTGCTTTGCCAATGCCAGTTCAACCACTTAATCCTGGCTAATAGGTAAAACATTCCATGAATTCAAGTTGTAACTTAAGGCTAGCACTTGAGGCAGTTCAAGTTCAGAGATGTGGTTTGTGAAAATATTACTGGTTGTTGCTTATTTTCTTCTTTGGGCATTCTTTTGAATCATAAATATTTTTTATTACTCTGCATAACATTTAAAAAGATATATATATATATATATATATATATATATATATATATATATATTTATATATATATATATAAATATATATATATATATATAAATATATATATTATATATATAAAAACACATTCTATTGAAAAAATATATTATGCTGTAAACTATCATACAATAACCAAATGACATAAACTTGGTACCCTGTAGGATCTCAATAAATATTTATTCAAATAAACTGAACAATGTTAGTTAATGTATGATTAATTTTAATAATTTAGTTGTTGTTTTTTAACAAGCTTTTCTAATTTGTTTTCTGTAGTATAGGGACAACCCTATATATTAGGGTTAGTATATATTAACTATATACTATATATACTATATGTTTTTCTTTATGTGCTTTTGAATTGCATGACAGGCATTGTCCTGAAAAACCATATATTAGGAAGAGATAATGTTGAAGAAAGAGAATAGTAATTTTGTCCAATTCAGCTGGTTAAATTCTGAGTGTTTAATTCTTTATTTGATCACTCTTATAACTGAGCTGAGTCTCAGATAATCATGGAAGAAACACACTGTACTGTTTTATTAAGAAAGAAATAGCTGTTCTCCAGGAAGGGGAAAAACACAGTGAAGGGCATGGTTCCATTGCTGAGAAATGAGTTAGGAGTCCTGCACCACCAAGGGGCGAGAGGCTGCCCTCCACAGCGCGGTTCTGCGGTGCAGCCGGCCTGGGTTGGGGCCGGTCCTGAGGCTGGATCTGGAAGGAGGCTGGGGGGCACTGGTGCTGACTGCCACAGGCCGCGAAGCAGGCAAAAGCATTCACACTTCATGCTTCTTGTCCATGCACAGAAATAGACCCATCTTCAAATCAAGTTGCTGTGAGCAACTGAGAAGCATTGAAAATAATTCTGGAAAGAAACCCATTTTCAGTTTAAGGCCACTGATCATTTTGCTTATAAAGCCTAAGTATCCCAAGTATTTTGGGGGCTTGGGACAAGTCCTCACATCTGGACATTTACACTACTGTAAGCGCTTTTCTTCCACCTAAATGGTCCTTTTGGCTAACTCTTAAATTTGGGAAGTTTTCCATTATTACTTCTTCAATTATTTTATCTTGCCCCTTGCTCTCTTCTGTCCTGGGTTCCAGTGACATGATTGTGTGTTTGCATGTGAGCCGTGGTCTGCGGTACCATTTATGTTTATTCCATTACTTTTCTCTCAAATATACAGGTTGATAGTTTCTATCTGCCTTCAAGTTCACTGAATTTGCTATTAAGCCAAGTCCATAATGTTTTCATTATACTTTTATTTTTTAACTTTAGAATACGCTTTTTGAAAAAAAAATTTATTTCTCTTTCGGGATTGTACATTCATTTTGAGGATACTTTCTTTTGAGTCTCCAAATATATTGGTGATGATTGCTTTAAAATCTTGTCTGCTAATTGCAACATGTAGGTCATCTTGGGGTTTCCCATTCCTTTTCTTTCTTTTGACAGCTTTTTCTCTTGGGCTCTGGTCAGTCTCTGTTCCTCCAGGGTCTAGGATTTCTAAGTATGGTTGGGACATACTAATATGTACGAAGACTACAGACACTGTTCTGTCCCTGGGGAGGGTTGGCTTTTGTCCATGCAGCCAGTTAACTTGTCTGGACTCGGGCGCCAAACTCCGTGTCCCCAGCAGTGGGCAGAGGTGTCAATCTTGGCTGTCCTGTAAGCTTCCAGCAGCTGTTTTCTTTTTATGGACATCCTTGGATCTCTGTGACCAAGTCGTCTCTGCTTCAGGATGTCCTTCTGTCTGTGCTGCCGTTCGTCTGTTCTGTCCTCTGACACTGGCGGCCAGTGCGGTGGGCTCTCGGCTGCACAGAGTCCGTGATGGGGGAGGACCCTCAGGCACAAAGCTGCAGATCCCTGAATCTCACCTGTTGAAGTTCCCACCTTTCAAGCCTAAATTCTGACCCAGTTTGTGTTGCTTCAGTTTTTATCAAAGTAGGTGTTCTCTAGTTGTTTTCTGTGAAAGGGTGATCTCACCTACTACTCCGCCACGCTGTCCTTTGGTCACATTTTAGGGACTTGGATGGACCAGTTTTAGAGATGTGGGTTCATTTACCCACAGAATTAGCAACAGCCAAGGAGAGGAGCTGGGTGCAAAGTGACTTTGAAATAGGGAAGCTCAAGGCACTGACGGTATTCAGTCACGCAGTCCTCAAAGTGTCTGACTGACTGGACGCTTAAAGAACACAGAGATAGAATTTGCTGCACAAATACTTAAGATGAGATGTGGAAGACTGTTCTCAAGAAAAGGAAAATCTAGAAAAATCAGGAGGATACGCCCAAAGTTGTGGAGGTGACGGATGGAGGAGCAGAACTCACAGCCTTACATATTGCCATACTTGTGACTGTCATGTTCTGCTACCTTTCCTATCCTCTACTATCCCCCCTCCCCTCCCCTCCCCACCCTTCTTCTCTCTCTACCCCCCCTATTGACCTTCATTTCTCCCCCTTGTATTATTTTTCCCTTTCCCCTCATTTCCTCTTGTATGTTCTTTTGTATAACCCTGAGGGTCTCCTTCCATTTCCATGCAATTTCCCTTTTCTCTCCCTTTCCCTCCCACCTCTCATCTCTGTTTAATGTTAATTGATGTGATTCTGCAATCTGTATATGGGCTAAAAATGGGAGTTCATAACTCACTTGAAGCAAAGTGTGAAAGATGATATATCAAGAACTATGTAATGTTTTGAACAACCAACAATAAAAAAAAATAAAATAAAAAAAAAATAAAAATAAAAATCAAATTTTAAAATTTATGGTATAATAAACTTTTTTTAGTTTGGAAAAAAAAAAAAAGAACTCACAGCCTTGTTTTAATTCAAGATCGTCCTTGACTGAAGGACAGCAGATGGCCATGGCGTGGTCTCAATGAAAGCAGCAAAATCACCCACAGTGACATTTTCAAAGGGAAAATCGGAAGCAAGGTAAGAAAGACAGGGGATCTCATGTTGCAGGAATTGGGTTTCTGCCCTCTTTCCACGAGTGCTCTGGGAGGAACTTTTTCAACTTTGCAAAGCAGCAGAGGTCTCAGCACTCGTGGTCCTAGGGAGGGTGTGAGATCTGGAAGAAAGCCCTGAGGTTTACACGTGCAAATGTCCTGCAAGGGAGATCTCCTGCATGTGCACATCAGGGGTGGCCTCCAGGCAGTGTTGGCCGGAAGGCTGGCAATTCTCTGTTTCTGTTTACAAAGAAGAGCCCTCCAGCCCATTCCCGTGATGGTGGTATGGGACCAGCAGCTTGAGGATGTGCTAGTGGGAGAAGTAATGAACATTCAGACTGGCATGGGTGAGATTTCCCTCAGGACACTCTGGCTCCAGTCTCAAGTCTCTGGGAAACAGGGAGTTTATATTTGTATAAGAACCACAACAGATAGATAGGTGGATGGATGGATGCATGAGAGATCTGAATGCAGTTATCTATCACATTCACATAAAGCAGGACTCCAGATCGTGTTGAGAATTATGTAGGGAGTTCTCATTTCATCTGTTGCTTCAGTATTTTTCAGTTATGTTTTGTTGAGTTTTTTTTTTTTTTTTGTCTTTGCCAAAGTAACCTCTCTAGAGGGGTGTAGCGGCACATGTCTGAAATCCCAGAAATTTGGGAGGCTGAGGCACGAGGATCACAAGTTTGAGGTCAGCCTCAGCAATTTAGTAAGGCCATAAGAAATTACCTCAAACTAAATACATAAACATGTGACTGTGGGTGCCACAAGTTGTAATCAAAGTGAACAACTCTAAAGTGGAGAACGGGAAACACTTTTTTTAAAAAAAATATTTTATAAATTGTTATGAATTCAATTTAAATCACAGAACAATATGTTGAGCATTAATGGGAACTCTGTCTCTCAGCCATTCTATACTGTACCAAGCCCCGTGGACAACTGGCCTGTAACTGTACATTTAAAATGGTAATAAATATCTGATATCTTTGCACAAGAGAGGAACTTCAGGTGGCAAGAGTATGCAGTGGGAGTGAAGGGACAGGGTCTCAGCTCTGAGAACCTGCACAGTCGGTGTGCACCTGTGTGGGAGAGCTCTGCTGTCTGTGAACAGCACCAGTATTGCAGCCCCTCCTGGACCCGGTGCCTCTCCTGATCACGGCTTCCCCTGGAACGTCTCTTCACTCCCAGCACTGGGCTTAGCTTGCTTCTGGAATACACCGATTTTTTCTGATCCATTACTTGATTCCCTGTCCTTCTCATAATTAGCATGTCATCAGTATGAATTTTAGAATTATTTAGCATTGAAAAAACGTTAAAATAACATGGAAAGTTTAAAGGCTAAAAGTTACAAGAACATTTTCCATCTAATAGTTTTTTAACGACTATATTTTGATGCAATGACTACAGAAAGATGCACAAATTGTAACTCTGCACACAGTGAGCACATCTCCTTCCCCACAGCGCAAGCCCAGAGGAACAGCAGCCCAGCACCTGAAGTTTTCCTTGTTCCTGGCTGCATCCTGGCTGCAGCCACAGGTCTCCACCATCCTCCTCCTGTTCTCCTGTGGGAACGCCCTATACTGATTTTTTTCCGAGCTTTTTCATGGAGTTATCACGAGACTCAGCCACACTGCACCGTGCTGCGCGTCATTCTACGCCATTCCCATCGCTGCAAAGGGTTTCACGTCATGGGCAGACCAGGCCTTGTCCACTTTTTCTCTTGTTGGTGATACCTGAGCTGTACTGCAGTGCTTAGCTGTCATAACACTGCTGCCATGAACATTTTGTGCAGGTCTTTGGATGCACAAAAGCACACATTTCCACACATGCGTAGGAGGGCCATTTCTGGGCCATAGGATAAGCATATGTGAGCGTGGACATTCACACCAGCCGTTTTGTGAGTTCTGCTGGTTTCACTCTCACCAGCTCTTGATATATTAGTGTTTTAAAGTTTTGTGGGGTTATACAGCCGAAGGACATGGTGCATCTTTATGGACATCTCTTTTGAGAGCCTTTTTGCCTGTGTTCTCATCTGTCTTATTCTTAGAGGTTGGCAAGGGGTCTTTTATCACATTTAAATGGAGCATGCAATGATAAGGGCGAGACAGCACCCCCTTAGAGCTTGCCCAAGTCCTCAGCTGCTCCTGAGGGCTCACGGAGGTTTTGTATCACGGCAACTTAGGCCGATTTCTACCACTTTTGGTGTGTTCTCCTGGCAAGCCCAGGCCAGAAGGAGATGAGAGAGCAGGGTCTCCATGGGATGCCCATTTTGCCTTCCTGCTCCTCTTGCACAATGGGAAGGAGTCAGTGTGAGCCTGGGAGCTGAGTGAAGAGTGTTTGTTCCAGTGGTTGGATGGTGTCTGACAGTCCTCGGGAACAACATTCACCAATGTTCTGTGTCAGGGCTGAAACTGCGGGAAATGGAAGTCTTCCATGGTCTTGGAGTGGGAGATTCCCAGAGGTTAAAGGACGGCTGGATGTCAACATGCTTAAATGAAAGTTGGCCCTTGGTGGCACCCTGAGACCTGGTGGCCCACCTCTGCCCATGCGCCTCAGTGAAGGGACACTCAGTTCCAGTTTTCCAGGCAAACCGACCATTAGTGGGGGCTTAGTATAGACAGCTCTTGGTTCACACGGGACGTGCTTCCTGTTGCTTCTGCCCACGGGTCCAGGAGTAAGGCCACTTGCTCACTCTGAGAAAAGCTCTTCAGATATTTGAAGACAGTCATCATGTCATGATCTTGTCCCTTAATCTTTCATTTAGGCTGAAAATAAAATCTTACCTCTTTGAAACAGACACCTGTAAACAGGGAGGAGAGCACCGCAGTCAAGAACTCACAGGCTGAAGATGAGTGGTTTGCTGAGGACCTCTCTGGTTCAGGACATCCATTGTGTTTCCTTCTGTTTATCTTCTCTTTATTAAACAGTGATTACCAAGTGGCTCCTGTGGCTCGTTAAGACCCTCAGCTTCCTTTAGTCAGGTACTGCCTTTCACTTTGTGGGCCTGTCTCCTTCCTGGCTGCCAACACCTGCTGTTACTTTTTTTTTTTTGGAGCATTGTTAACAGAAGAATTTTGCGGTGAGCATCTTCTAAGTGTGCAACCTGGTGAATAGCACGGCTCTCCTCAAATCTCACTTTTCTGCGTGTTCGTATTCCAAGGTAATTTTAAAAACTGCTATAATGTGTCTTTTCTCAGTTACGTGAGGAAATATCCTTGATAATTCTTCTTTTCCTGGAATTCAAGAACACTTGCAGAGCTGTTCTGAACAGAGGCTGCACTGTTCATTTCTCCCTTGGAGAGGGAAAAAGAACTAGAAAGGGATTTGTTGATTCATGGTAATAGCGAAACACCCGGGCACAGGGAGGCAGTTCCTTTGAGTTTGATTCTCACTGTGCATGACTGTTGATTCCCTCAATAGTCAGTGGATATTTATGAAGTGCCTGCCTATGTCAGACCCCTGCTGCAGTGTGGAGGGCGCGGGGTGCACACTGCCCTCACCTGGGACGCAGAATGACGCAGCTCTGGAGCCCCCACAGTTTGCTTCTGATTAGTGCCTTGGGGATGTACTTAATGGTGAGGTTCACTGTGGTCTGTTCTGTGTGTACACAGGAGAGTCAGGTCAGATTCGCTCCATGTTCCTCCCCTACCCTCGCCCACCCCACCGTCCCTCCATCTGGTTCACTGTTCTTTCTTCTATCTTGATGGACTCCCTCTTTTCCTTCTCTCTTTATACCCCCTTATTGGACTAGCTTCCTTAAATCAGAGAAAACATTCAACCTTTGACTTGCTGAGTCTGACTTATTTCTCTTAGCATGACAGTCTCCAGTTCCAGGAAATGCCACAATGTCACCCTTCTTTGTAGCTGAGAAACGTTCCATTGTGTATACACACCACTTTTTCTTTGTCCATTCACCTGTTGAAGGGCATCTAGGTTGGCTCCACAACTTGGTTTTTGTGAATTGTGCTGCTATAAACATGGATGTGCTGTGTCACTGTAGTGTGCTGATTTGAGATCTTTTGGATATATTCCGAGGAGTAGCGGAGTTGGGTTACATGGTGGCTCCATTCCTTGTTTTCTGAAGATTCTCCACACTGATTTTCAGAGTGGTCCCACTAATTTGCACTCCTACCAACAATGTATGAGAGAAACTTTCCCCCCACATCCTCACCAACACTTATTATTCTTTGTGTTCTTATAATTCTGACTGGGGTGAGATGAAATCTCAATATAGTTTTGATTGCATTTCCCTAACTGCTTGAGATGTTGAAGCTTTTTTCATGTATTTGAAGTCCATTTGTATCTGTTTAGTTCTTTTGTCCATTTATTGATTGGTTATTTGTTCTTTTGGTGTTTTTTTGTCTCTATTACTGCTGATACTATTGATACTAGCCCTGCTGCTGTTACTATTTTAGTCCTGCTTCTGAGTATGAGGCCTTAGAGAAACTATTTAATCTTCTTGACTCTTCTTGCCTCAGAAAATTCGGAAATGAAACTACATACATGTTTCTGTCCACAAGATATTAATAAGCATGTTACCAAAAGCAAACCAATAAGAATGGTGGAGAAGATCATTGTACAAATATTCTGGGGATTCTAATTTAGGCAAAGTTGCCTTACTTACTAAATAATTTCCCTTTAATATGTTAATATGCATTGTACATCTCCAAAAGTGTGCATTAAATTTGTTTGAATATAAAATAATTTTTTTCCTGGTACTTCTCAGTATTAACAAAGCCAACATATTAGAAATAACATTATTATTCCAGGGAATGTAATTTTTTCCCCTTCAATTATTTCCTAGGTCTTTCCCAACTTGAATATCCTGTGACTCCATCATGTCATAAGCTCTCCTAGGTCAAGGACAACCACACATCTCTCTGTGTGTGAGATAAAATAATAATTAATAGTGCTCCGTTTTTCTTTAAGACAGTTCCCACTTTGAATGATGAGTTAAGTAGTCACCTTACCTTTTGAGTGATC